AAATTGTTATAAATATTATTTATTAAATTTCAATTTTATTTTCAATATAACTTATTATAAATATTATTTACTAAATTTAAAATTTATTATAAATATGACTTATAAAATTTATTATTTATTAACATTATAAGTTATTAACTTTTTAAATTTTGAATTTTATTATAAATATTATTTATTATTTAATTATTATTTAAAATTTGAGTTTTATTATAAATATAATTTATTATTTAATAAAAATGAAAAATGAAAAGGAAAAAAAAAACAAAAATGGCTGCCCGGAATTCGGTTTCCCGAAAACTGAATTCTGGCAGCCCAGGACGTCAATGAAATGCACAGGTGAAGGTCAGAATTCGTTTTCCGGGAAATCGAATTCTGACCATGAACAGTATTTAGTGTTGCTTGTATAAATAATGTGTCTAGGGTTCTATTTAGGTAAAAAAAATTTAAAAAATATTATTGCTTTAAAAAAATTTCATGTGTTCTTAAGATATTGAAACCAATAAATAAATAAATATTTTATGCAAAAGAAAACTATTTTTTAAAATATTTTGACAAATTTGATTACATTAAAAAATATCCAAATATATTAATATTTGTTACACTTACACAAATCCAATCGTTATACATTATAAAATTTATTTTGCAAAATAAAAAATAATAAATGAATAAAAATAAATATATACGTTATGTAAAAGAAACCTATTTTTTTAAAAATATTTTGAAAGATTTGACTAGATTAAAAAATATATATATAAATATACATTAATATTTTCCATTAATAAATTTTTATATTGTAAATTATTACTAACCATTATTAGATTTATATTAAATTTTAAGAATTATTTAGAAAAATAAATGAATAATTTATACAACAATTATCATGATAAAAAAGTTTAAATATCATATTACCAAAAATAAGTGTAGCATTTGATGGCATGGCTAAGAAATGTTGATAAAGATAAAAATGATAAAGTGGGTGTTTGATAATGGTGTTGTGTGAGGGTCACATGACACTTGACAGGTGCTCCACTATTCAAGCTGACCGGGTATGGTCAAAAGAGTGACGGCGGCCAGCACGGACAACATGGGAACTGCTCACGCAATTCCCGGGTCAAACTTGCTTAGAAAAACAAAGGAAGCAAATATAATTTATAGATAATAAATAATAAATGCATAGGAACTAATTTGCGTTGCTAGTAACAAATCAGTAATCCATGAATAATAAAAAAAAGTTAGAGTTTGAGATGGTATAAAGAAAAAATGAAGGTGTGATCCGACATTTGGGTGGGAAAAGGAAGGGAGGAGTGGATTGAGAGAAAAAGGAAGAGGAGAAATGAGCAAGAAGCAGGTGAAATTGGACGATGAGCAAATAGCGGAGTTGCGAGAAATATTCCGGACGTTCGATCGGAACAACGACGGGAGCCTGACGCAGCTGGAGCTGAGCTCGCTTCTGCGGTCGCTGGGCCTGAAGCCCAGCCCGGAGCAGCTGGAGAGCTTCATCCAGCGGGCCGACACCAACAACAACGGCCTGGTCGAGTTCTCGGAGTTCGTGGGCCTGGTGGCGCCGGAGCTTCTGCCGGCCAACTCGCCCTACACGGAGGAGCAGCTGCGGCACCTCTTCCGCATGTTCGACCGCGACGGCAACGGCTTCATCACTGCGGCGGAGCTGGCCCACTCCATGGCGAGGCTCGGCCACGCCCTCACCGCCGAGGAGCTCACCGGCATGATCAAAGAGGCTGACACCGACGGCGACGGCATGATCAACTTTCAGGAGTTCGCTCACGCCATCACTTCTGCTGCCTTCGATAACTGCTGGCCTTAACCGCTTTCTTCGTTATTATATTTTAATTAATATACCCAAGGTATGTAAATCACTGCGTAATGCGTTTCTCTCTCCCTCCTTCCCCCTCTCACCACCCTCCGCTATCTTCCCATTCTTTCTATCTTCTCATCTACTTAATTATAACCAATTTTTGCTCTCTTACTCTTACTCCATCTTGTTTAATAATAAAATATTGTTTTTGTATGTCATATTATTTTCAATTGTTTCAAATTGAACAACTTCCAACTGAATTAATTCCCATGTACTTTTCATTGTATTAAATTCAAGACGGTGCAAGCAGCAAATAATTTTGTTGTTGTTGAAACTGTGTACTCATAGCAAATGTACAAGATTTTGTTATGGTTTAACATCACTTGATTAATTATATTTCACTTTCGTGTTATGCAACTAGAGTTATAACTTAAAAAGTGATTAATTAAAATCCTAGTATTGTTGAGGATATAGGTCCACTAGCTAACTTGCTTTTCTTGCAGATTAGAGAGCCATACTTGGATTCATTGATTCAGGGCACTGCCATGTACAAATAGCGTCCAAGCCTATCCCTCCTACTCATTTTTCTGTAGACAGAGATGGTAAACTAGCTTGAGACCAAGCTAGTGCTTAGGTTTGAATCACAAGATTTTGTATGTTGTTATTCAATACCCTTTTCCTATATTAGAAGAGGGGAGCCAGAACATCAATTTTCGGACCTTGTGCTGTGACGTTTAAAGTTGATAGTTTTTCAAAAACATACGGGGAATCAATATTTCATGATGTTATTACAGCGAATTTTTAACGTAAATAATATTTTTTTTTTAAAAATTTACCAAAATAACATCTGTGCAACTTTATTTACACAACTAGAACCATTTACTGTTCACACTCAGAATTCGGTTCCCGGGAACCGAATTCTGAGCTTCAAAATTTTTTTTCTTTCTTTTTCTTGTGCTCAGAATTCAGTTCCCGGGAAACCGAATTCTGAGTTATTTTTAATTTTTTTTTTGCGTTTTCTGCTAGTTTGCGCAAGTCTGGAAAGCAGAACGGCCCGTTCTGCTTAAACACATTGAGTGTTTTTTTTAACATTAGAACAGGCTGTTCCAATTTTAAAAAAAACACTCTATGTGTTTAAGCAGAACGGGCCGTTCTGCTTTCCAGACTTGCGCAAACTAGCAGAAAACGCAAAAAAAAAATTAAATTAAAAACAACTCAGAATTCGGTTCCCCGGGAACTGAATTCTGAGCACAAAAAAAAGAAAAAAAAATTTTGAAGCTCAGAATTCGGTTTCCGGGGAACCGAATTCTGAGTGTGAACAGTAAACGGTTCTAGTTGTGTAAATAAAGTTGTACAGGTGTTATTTTGGTAAAAAAATTTTAAAAAAATATTACTTACGTAAAAAATTCTATTACAGCAGGACAAGAAAACTCCACAATTCATTTGTTTCTAGATATGTTTCCCAAGCTTTTAGCTAAGCTTTATATTAGGATAGGTAACCAACCACTAAAAGCTATAACGAGTTGTAAACTGAACAAAATCACACCAAAAAGAACCAAATTGTCCAATACGAATTATTACAAATCAAATTGCGAAGTTACGGTCTTGTGGAAGCGGACTAGCTCCTCGTCGTTGTTGCCAAGGTTTATTGTAAAAGTTTTTTTGGTACATGGTTTATTGTAAAAGTTAGAGTACGTGTTTGCTACAAATTTGAATCAAATCGATCTTTAAATTTAATTTAATAAAATAAAAAAACAGTGTTTCTTCGAAGGGATATTGCATCTGTCTTGTAACTTCTAAGACTAATTTTATTATTTGTCATTTTAAAATTTAAAAATGACATTAACTACTTTTTTTCAATTAAAAACTCATCAAGAGAAACAATATATAAAATGTCAATAATATATAGGAGAAGTTGATAAAATACTTCAAATTACAAACAATTCTAATAAAAAGAAATTAATTACTCTCCCTAGTTTATATACTAAAACCGTAATTGAAAGGGACAAAAAAACACAAGAATAACTTAAAAGTGTTATTACAGTCATCGGGATCAATCAGACCAGTGTTTTCGTTTATGTTAACTAAAATTATTTAATTTGTAAAATATACGTTTTTTGTTTGAGTAGAATATTATTTTACAGCTTATAAAAACTTTACCTTTTTTTGTTATGTCATTATTTTTAGAGTAATTACATCGATACTCTTTCAAGTTTTGTGAAATTGCACGCATACACCCTAATTTTTCTACCCATACATTAACCTTAATTGTTTAAAAAAGCATTAATATGATAAAATAAAAATAAATAAATAAAAAGGTAAAGGGTTAAATGCAATATCATGAAATCTCAGGAAATGCCTGTAATTTACCCTTATTTTTATATAAATAAACAAAACTGAAGTTACTATGATCTGTTAAAGTAGTGAATGTTATCAGTCTCTAAAACTAAAAGTAAATGACAAACAAATCCTTAAAATGTTAAATAAATCTAAATTATATTATTTACTATTATTTTAGTCTTTTAAGTATATATCAATTATCAAGAATCAAAGTCACCGTATACTTAATAAACAATCTAAACATTTCCTCCTTTATACTTGTAATTTTTTCCTTTAGAATTCTGTTTTTATCGTTAAGTCCCGCAATATTTTCATCATTGATGTTGATAAATAAAATAAAATAAAATAAAAGGGGTACACACTTTTTTCTTTGTTAACATTAACACTATTGACAAGTAACTAAATTTTGTAGCATGGCTCACTTCACTCACCCATGTAGTTTAATGTAGACACAAACAAATAAACACAACTTACATAACTGGAAGACACAGCTAAGAAAACTGACCTTTGATTTTAAGAGGAAACAAAAGGTAAAGCGGTTGCTAACTTGCTAACTGGTATGAAATGTTCACTGTTTCAAAACCTAGAATAAACTGTGCAATAAATGGACAATAAAAATTAAGCCTTCTTCTTTTTGGATTTGAGCATCACGAATCCAACAAATATGCTTAAGAAGCAAAGAAGTGCCACACCAGCAGAAACTGGTATCAGTATGGCATACTCTTGGGGTAAGAAGTACTTATGCACGAAATGATCATCATCCACAAATGGCTGAAAGTCCACAAGATCAATAGAAAAGAGTAATTAGGAAGTTAAAAGTCGGAGCCATAATTTATTTAAGATACTGAGAAAATTACTGACCAGTATGATAACCCAGAAAGTATAATAAGTAAATATCGATAAGCTTATAAAGGATAACAGAAATCCGACTGCTCTGTCTGCTATATCCATTTTGATGCTTATTGCTTTCACTTCCTGTTAACAACGAACCAGACAATTGTGTTCCCATTCATAACATTCGATAGTAGAAACAAGCATAACAGTAGTCCATAAACTCAACGGTAACACCAACAAAATATTTAGGGCTTTGCACAAATAATGCTGCACATTCTCTACAACAATTCAAATCTTATAACCGAATGCTGTGGTATCTTTTACTGTTTTACACACCAAATTAAAAAATCTTCTAATACAAGTACGGTAATGAATTTTCAAATTTTCCAAATTTAATACAACATGCTAGTCAGCATGACCGCACAATCATGAGTTGCCTGGATGAAAAACATGTATAAGTGATGCTTTTGGGCAAAAATTCACTAAAACCGTGGTAAACAGTTCTGCCAACAAACATTTGTATAACTAAGGTGAAAAATTAAAAAATAATTATCTATCACACACACTCTTCATATTTATTATTCAAAGAATGAATTAAAATCTTTGGACAATTTTGGTGGTTTAATCATAAATAGGATTGAATATTTATACAATAACAGATATGAGTTTATATCTGATAGAGCATTAGAGCCAAACTAGTAAGGCAGAGTAGTGGGCCCAAGGGTTGGACTTTGGGAATCTACACTATGAGGAATAAAAAACAACAGATTTAGTAATCTGTTATCTATTAAGTTCTTATCTGTCATTAACTTATCTGTTGTTATGTTATCTAGAAGCATGTTTAATCTACGAAGTTTGTTGGTCTATTATCTTAAATTCTAGGAAGTTGTTAGGGAGAATATTTAAAAGGTATTGGGGAGTCTGTTACAGGATTACCTTTCAAGTTTTCTGAGATCATTGTGGAGAGTTAGGATCTCGGAAAGAGGGAGAGCAGATTCACTCTGCCTGTAACTCTCTTTTACTTGAATTAAATGGCTCTTTTGGATTTAGAGTCCATCAATATCCAAGAAGGCACTACACTTTTGTGTTAAAAAATGAAAAATACAACCAGGTTTTTTTCTGAAATTTGAAATATGAATATTAGAATTCCAGTAAAAAAAGGTTGTATGTGTGCGAATAACAATGGAAAGCCTTGTATAGCTGTGACAAAAGGAAAGTCTTTGGCACAGCAGCAAGACTCGTTATAACAGTCTCTAGCTAATTAGTCCAGTGAGGTTCTATGAGCAGATAAGTTTGTTACTAAACCAAACTTGTGTTGAAGTGGAATCTCAGGAAATTTTAGTTCTAATTGAAGACATGAACAAGTAAAAGAGAAGCCAACCATAATTAAGGATAAGTTGTTAATGGTAGTTAAGGAAAACAATCAGTTCAAAAGGGAGCATCCAAAAGGTCTCCTAAAAGAAGAGAAACCTTGGAGACTGATTTGAAGAAGAATGAATTGAAAAGAAAGAATAAAAAACTAATATTGAACAAGCTGATAAACCATTATGGAGGATAAATTGAAGAATGAAGCCTGGAAGCAGGCTAGCAAATTTTGTATACGACAGCAACTAAAATCACAAGAAATTTTATCCAAAAGATACCCGGAAAAAAAAAATAAATAAATAAACATAACCGTAGAAGACAAAAGAATCTATGTATAATACTGGTAAAAATACCACACTTCAGCTGGATTAAATCCCCAAAAGAACAAAACCCAGCAGAACAATCAACAGACTTATCCATTGATACCAGAAATTACCATAAAATTCACATTTTAAAACACCACATCTGTTACCTAATCCCAGAAACTAATAAAATTATCTTTGATGGTGGCTTTATGTTTGTTCACATAACAACTTAACCCCATGCCCCATGGTTGATGGAGGAAGCCCATGGGCCAAGGGCCCAACTACTAGGGCTATGGCAAGAAGGATTCATGAAGAGTGGGCCCAAGCCCAAGGAAAGCCCATTACTTTGTTTTGTTGGGCTTTGGCTCAAGCCCAAGTAGATTAGGGTTAGTGTAGGATTGGGCCTTGGTGCCTTGTAATTCTTTTTGGGCCTTGTATTTCCGGCCATGTAGCTTAGGATTTACATTTAGAAGTCATTTGCATTTAGGGTTATTTAAGTTACATGTGAGATTTCATTAGCATGTAATTAAAATCACATTTGATGTGCATTTCGGCCATGTGCAACACATGCACATGGTGTGATCCGAAATGCAACTCAAATGGATTGCTAATTACATGCCAAATGAATAAGCACATGGGTGGTCCGGGTTTTAAGCACCAAAATTTGAATTTGAATTCAAATTTTGGGCGCCTAAGGTTAAGTGAACCTTACCTTGGTTACACTTAACCTTAGGCTAACCCAAGGTCACCTTAACCTAATGTATTCCTATAAATCCTTGTGGCCGAGACTTGTAAGCACACTTTGGATTATATTGATGAGTTTTATTCTCTCTAGAATTCATCCCTCCGAAGTCACCAATTTCCTAAACTCTACCCTCCTTGAGTGCTTCTCTTTGTAGAGCTAGGAACCCTAATTTTCTTTGGACTTAGCTTGTATGCAAGTTTAGGTCACATTGAGTCTTCGTGGAACCTCCCTCCTTGAAGCTTCTTCCAAGGACCTCCGTGAAGACTTGAAGCATCCATGTGCATTCCAAGTGGAAGCACATCAAGTGGTATCAAGAGCATCCAGTTTGTCTTCAAGAGATAAGTCTTGATCCTTGTCTTTTGATGTTGTGATCCGTGGTTCATTGTTTCAATTTTGTTCATCTTGTTTTGAGTTCTTGTCACATGAGAGTTTCTTCATTCCTAGATCTAATTTTAGCCTTAAAATTTGATGGATCTAGTTTCTTGTTTGCTTGAATGATTCATTATGCTTTTGAGATAATATGCTTTCATGAATCATGCTCCACTCTTGTTGTGCCTTTTAGGAATTTTCTGCCTATGAACTTTTTATTTTCTTTGAGTCATATTTGAAATCTTTTTCGGTCATTAATTGTTTGAGTCTTGTTGTTTTATTTTTGAATCCATGTCTAATAGGTTTGTCTAGCTCTTTGTATGTTCATCATTCTTAGCATTGCTTGTTGATCCTTTTGAAATTTTTGGAGAGAAACTTGAACTATTTTCTGGATTTGGCCGAGACCCATAGTCATTGGTATAAGCTCATAATTTTTTGTTTGATTTTGAGTTCTTAAACTACTATTAGATCATTAGTAGTTTTCTTAGAATTTTAGGTTTCCTAAATCTTGAAAATGTCTTTAAAAAAAAAATTCATATCCGTGAGTGTTTGATCTTGTTTTAATTGTGTGTGCTGAAAATTTGTGTTAGTAGTTCAATTTTGAATTTGAATTTTGGAGCCTAAAACCGTGAGCATGTGCCATTCAAATTTACAAACATGAAAAGCATGTTACATTTGTCTTGAATTTGTTCCTAATTTGGCTTGTCATTTGGCATTTCTTTTGAATCCGGTTTTGGTGCTATCTAAAAGTGACCGAGACTTATATGTTACTTAAATTTTGGACAGCAAAAGGCAACTCCTAAGTTGTAAAAAAAAATATTTTGATCAATATTTAGAAGAAAGATCAAAAGAAATTCAAAACAAAATTGATTATAAAAAAAAAATGCTAAACCTAATTTGAAAAACAAAAGCCAATTAAGGAGTTTATCAAAACTTATCTAATTTTGAAATCAAATACATATTCACACATCATATCCAACTAAAAACCCAACAGAAAACTCAGATATTAAAACAGAAAACTTTCATAATTTGTCTGTTCGTAAAACATGCATCAAGAAAGGGATTTGGGGCTAATCTTGTTACCCAACAATTATTTTCACACCCCCGAGCGAGATTTCTCACTCCCCCCTTACCTAGTTGAGTAGAAGATAAAGTGTGGGAAGAATCTAGTTTGTCTCATTCTCTTGGTTCTCATTGATCTTCAGAGAACATAGAAAGGAAATGAATAAGGAAATGTCAGGAGAATGATGCGTAAGGTTACTTCTCTTAACTCCTGATAACTCTCTTCTTAAAATAATAAAAATAAAATAATAATATTAATAATATTAATACTAATTAATCCAATGACCATCATGTCCTTCCTTCCCCTTCCATAAAATAATTAATATAATTATAACATGAACACTGTTTGGAGGATAATTAACAAGTTAATTTTATACAAGCTTAATAAATACATGTTAATGTTATAGTAGACTCATATATAAATTATTCTATTTTTAATAATAGTATTGAACTTTTTTCAGAATAAAACTCCCTACACAATGATTTCTTTCTAGGAATCTTAACTCCTTAACTCGAATCATTAAGCAACTACTCAATCTTTACTCCATGGGATGATCTATACACTCTTGGTGAAATCAGAAGAAGAAATGTAACGACCCAGCTGGTCACTACACACTGCACAGCACACTAGAAACACCACACAGAAAGGAACAAGTGTATACATATAGGGTCTAGAATATATACATATACATGATCCAAATCTGGATAGAGTTAAAGTGTACAAAATACATCAAAGGCTACTACACCAAGTAGCTAAAACAACAAAACAGCTTAAAAGATCAGCTCCGTCTACCAGCTGCAGACTCCCCACCAGCCACCAACCTATCCCTACTCTGCTCCCATACATAGTATGATCATCGCAGTCCAAACATCATGGAGACAACAAAGGATAAGCTAGTGAAAAGAAATCAACATATACATGTATAACAATATGATTAGTAAACAACTACAACTATCATCACACCAACACAGCTTATACTGCACCACAGCATTCAACAATATCAGCACCGCGAAGTGGCAATATCAGCACTGCGTAGCAGCAATAACAGCGCCACTCAAGTGGCTATAACAGCACCGCATAGCGGCAATAACAACACCGATTTAGCGGCTATAATAGCACCAAAATAGTAGCTAATAACAGCACCGACATAACGGTAATAACAGCACCACAATAGTGGCTAATGATCAACATACAGCCCATCTAACACAGCTCACAACACAGCACAACAAATCAACATACAGCACAGCTAAGTAGTATTCAACTCAGCTTACTACTCACAACTCAGTTCGACATT